GCTTACCCTTGTGGTACTTGGCGTTGTCCATGACAAACACCGCAGACCCCCATCCGAGTTCTTCGACTTCGTCCAGCAGTTTCTTGAACCAGTCGACAAAGTAGTCGTGGTTGAACATGGAGTGATAGTCCTCCACCTTCTTGCCATTCTTCTTGCCGCCAACAAAGATGTCCAGGCCCAACAGGTGCGACACGTCGGAACCATCGTCCAGTATTCCAGCAACGAAGCAGTACCGACGGCCCTTGTGCTTCGGCTTTGTCGTCGCGTCGTCCGTCGGGTCGTACAGACTGTCCGCGTGTCGACTGTAATGGTGGTGGATGAAACTCTCATCCAAGTAAACCACGGGTCGTCGGGGGGCATGCGTCACCGTCGGAACCATAAGGGCAACATACGCGTCCCTTGTCTCTTCATGCGACTTGGTCATGCGATAGCTGATGGTGCCCTTGCGCTTGCCGCGTTCGTATCCTTGTTGGGACAAAAACACTTGGACAGCACGGAGACACGCAGCATAGTCTTTTGGGCAACACGGATCGACCACGACTACTCCATTCTCCAAGAGGTGGGCCAAGACGTCCTTCCCAACTGTACGTGTACGCGTCACGGACCGATCTCGTATGAACGACCGCACCGTGGCACGCACAGCGTGAGTGTTTGGTACTCTGGCCTTGTGGTACTTGGTGTTCGATGGGGGGTCGACAACAGACAGGTCTCCGGTAGCTAACCACTCAGCAAGGACTGCTTTGACTGTCTTGGGAGATCGGCCCAGCAGACGAGCAATGGCAACCGAGACGTTCGTCACATGCTCTTTACGGAGAGCGGATTGAAGCCAAAGGATGTCCATCTTCTCGTCGTACGTCAGGCTACGCCTGCGGCGTAGCCTAAGAAAGGCTTGGATGCGATCGACGGTATCGGCATCCATTTGTACTGTGACAAAATCCGTTTTCCCGCTGTAAGTTCGTCAATTTTTGTTCTGTGGTCCTGAAAATTGTGGGAATCGATAGAACCAATCAGTGCCGTCATTTTGGTACCAATTGGGTTGAAATTGGGGCACAATTGACAAAGATAGATCAAAACGAGTGAAATAATGTGTTATTCGTACCGCTATTTTGACACAGCCATCATAAAGTTACAAAAGGTTTGTCCTCGCGGTGAGATTTAAATAAATTTCATGCCTCCCAAGTCTTTATACATATTTGTTGTCACAAGTTATATTTCGTCGTGGGTCAATTTTGTATTGAACGATGTACTCTTTCCATTGTATTGTGCAATTTATTGGGTCTCCGAGGCCGTACTGTTCGCAATCGAATTCAGGAAGTTCAGACGAAACAGATACACCAAAAATCGTCGAAATTGGCCGAGTCGAACACTAAAAACCTCTTCTGGTCCCCTCCATGACCTCGCGGACTGTCAATCGCATACTTCTAGAGAATTCGTTTTAACCATGTATGTAGCGTGGGGGGATGCTGTGGAGTGGGATTATTGTGGAGAGTACCGAAGGGCCGTGCAGGGTGTAAACTATGCATGGGTTGCACATTGCAGCAATTATAACGATCAACACTACGAGGAAGTCATAATGACATGAGAGGCCACTGTAGACTTCTACATGTGGATACCCCACGACTCACAGTTAAGTCCAAACTTTTACTGGTAGTGCCTGCTGCATATCCCGTCGTTGAGCCCATTCACTCAAGGTACAGCGCACAGACGTAAAGACATAATCAAATATTGCATGACGCATTGTGAGTGAACTCAAATTCATGAAAGGTTCAGGTTTCTATTCTCCACTACTGTACAGTACAACCACAATGGCCTAAGATAGCTCACGTTCATGGCGGATTACTAAAGTGCTGTGTGTGACGCTGCCATCACAAATGAGCACAATGACCGGTACATAGCAACTGCTGCTATCATAGCTAAGATTGATCTTGACAAGGGTATACCCAATGCAAGGGAACTACAGCAGTCAGGCATGGAGGCAGCGAGCCCACCATCGTGCTTCAGCCTTGTCGAGTGTCCAAGTACAATGCCCTCTGATTGGTTACATAAATTTTATTTATAGCCAATCATAAGTTACAAAGACTTCATTGTTGAATTTGCAGTCTCAGGCCCACAAGCACCGGCCACCACTTGCAGAGAAGGGCTCCTACCCTCGCAGCCTTCATCTGATGTTGTAAAACATAATGCATTCTATCTACTACGTAGGATATAGCTACGCTACACCAGATTTCGTGCCAAAACAGCGCAATAAGACCAGAACGATCACATTGATTTGAAGCTGCGTCGGTCTGTGGCGTACGATTAATTTCGGCCTACGCCACAAGCCGACAAATTTTGCCGAGGGCGACTGGTGGCTTGAAGTACACTGTGCACGATTGAATTGTGGCCACCAGGCTTCAATTGCAACACCTTGTGGCGGAGTCGTTGTACTCATTCGCTGGGTGCTGTTGAATGCAGCAGGACTATGCCGCCAGCTATTACCATCGTCAACAAACTCACCGACAATAGATTGACATTTGACACCCGTACTGCATTCCTGAGGCCCTCGTCGAACGTCAAGTACATGCCAAACTTGTCCATTGTTGATTCAAATACGGACGCATTCGAGATTTGAGCAATACTGAGAACAAGGTGCTCGAACGGCACCTCCTCCGATGCTACCCATCGCTTGAATGCGTTCAGGGCATTGGCCCTCGCGCTGGCGGTCTTTGCAGGTATCAAGTTGCGCAAGCTCATGGCGCGGCCGAAGATGCAGTTTTGAGTGGGTCACATTGTGGTTTACTAATTAGGAATGCCTAAACTACATTCGAGTCCTACTTGTCGGAAGAACACTAAATATTCCACGATATATCCTTCAATAGAGGTTTTGTATGCTTCTCACAATAATGTTTCCTTCATTCCGACTCAATTCGTCGGAACCAGTCGGAATCCGTTCTCCAAATTTGACTACATTCTATTGGTGGATATGGTGTTACTGATTGAGTTTAAACAACATCTATTCGCTGAAAATCAAAATCTCGAAGTACTATTGGCTTAAATTGGTCCATACAAACACTAAGTGAGGTCGGAATTTGTTCATCGGTAGGGAGATGACGTAAAAATTGAAAGGAAAGTAAAAGCAAGGAAGATAACGTTTTTTCCCTATCCGTAGACTAGATGGAGCCAAATTCGTGGACTTCGTGGATGATCATCGAGGTCATGATATACTGATCTCCCCCCTTAAACGAAACGGGGCAAATTATGCAATTTACACAGTATATTAACTCTTACAGGTTATTATCTCGCTGTCTGGACCAACTATTTATGCAGTCATTTAGGCGCTGGACGACTCCGAGTCAGAGGTGAGTATTCCAGTGCGTCTCCAGCAGTTTCTCACAGTCGATTGCTCTATAGACCGCCAGGAATCCTGAGCCCAGCCCATCGCCTCAACGAGAGGGACTTCGTACAGGCGGTCTTGTCGGCCAGACATGACAGCGTCGATTTGGTCAAGTGCGTTTTGCAACTGCCGCTGCTTCACTTTGGCCTTGAAGGATGCTATGATCCCAGCATCCTGTGGTTGGAGGTAAGCCGTCGTGTTCGGTGGCAGCATACGAATACTGACGTTTGTTAGCTGCGTGTCGGCATTGACTTGGTGAGGTGGCGCATTGTCGACAAGCATCAGAATTCTTCTCCCTTGTTCCACCATTTTCGTGTTCATGGCATCGAGGTACGAGTTGAAAATGCCCCCATTCATCCAGGCTTTCTTACTCGAATGGTAGTCGAATCCAAGTTCAGCTCCAGTCTGACCACCAAAACATCTTGGTCTCATGGCGCTGCCGATGAAGAGCGGGTCCACCATGTGGCTGCCGTCCGCGTTCGAGGTAAGTGCAAGCGTGATTCTCTTCTTTGACTTTTTCGTACCGGGTACACGGTTTCGTGTAATCGAGCGATGTGGTGACAAGCAGTAGAAAAACGACGTCTCATCCATGTTGTAGATGTCGGCGGGCTCGTATCCAGTCGTGATGGTCTGCATTTCGGCACGCCCTGCTTCCACTGTCTCTGGTGGCGTCGATCCAGCTTCGCCGTGTTGCAGCTTGCTGGTAAGCCCATGTTTTTGCTGAAACTTGTACAGCCAACCCTTTGAAAACGAGTGACGTTGATCGGCAGGAACTTCCATGGTCGCACAAAAAGTGAGCGCCTGCTTACGGATGAGCTCACCGGTGAGACAAACCCCGAGTTCTTCGCATCGAAGGACCCACGCCACGAGCGCCTCCTCGACATCTGGTAGGCTGGATCGGCGATTGTTTGTTCGGTCTTTGCTGTCGGCTCGATCACATTGCGTCGCGTGGTGCTTGAGGGTATTTCCGATGGTAGATTTGGATGGCGTGGTCGCAAGATTGAACTCATGAGCAGCCCATATAGCCAAGTTGGAGTAGGAGGTGGTAGGATTGTTTAAGTGCTCTAAATACAGAGCATGCTTGTCCACTAGCGACATCTTCTTTTTCATCTTTGTAAATGAAGTCATGCATTTCAATGCCAAACAATTTAAGAGTTTGAATTTTGAAAAGTCTTCACCTTCTGATAATATAAAGTTTCAAAAATTATAAAGTTTACCCCGTTTCGTTTAAGGGGGGAGATCAGTAGTGGTCGAATGGGCCATTCGCCGTTGTAGCGTTGGGGCTCAGAGGCATATGATGCATTAAATTTATTGAAACTCATGTTGTGTTAGTTCATTTGCTCAATCTGTAGGACGTTCGGAAAGGAGTGGCTTGTATCTAAAGTAGCACGCCTCGGCAACTGGTACCAAAGCACCAGGTGCAGAGGAGTGATTTTATACTAATAGTACTTCTCTGGTGCTTCTAAATTATCGTTGATCAACCACTGGCACAAATCTGTTGTTTTTCGTAGGTCCTACAAGTGTATACATGTGATGGTGCACGGGACTCTACGTTCACTATGCATAAAGATGGATGTTGTCATTAAGTTGTTCGCTCCCACCACGCCTCTGATTGGCCTCTACTTCATGCAGGCCATCCTCCACGCCCCATTTCATGAGCCGACAAAAAAGCCTTATACCGTGTCAACAGATCTGGCCAATCACGGCGGATGATTCGAATCCCCAAAATGGACGCATTTGAGGGATTTTGTTACTAAGTTCCGGAGTTTTATAAATATTCAGAGGTAATTTGACAGATCTATACAAAAACCTCTGAGTATGTCCTAACCAAACCTCTAAAATATTACTAAAATATACCCTATAACCACTTATCCTTTCTGAATTGAACCACTTTGTAGAAAATTAGTGGCTTTACAGGAAGGTGATGCGCATCGTACTTCGAAGTACTACTCTGGAGTACATACTGACGTACAAGTACTACTTTTGGGATATTAGAGTCCATTAACGTAAAAACCAGTTGATTGCCCATATCACAGAATGGCCCGAAATACTTCTCAAGACGAAAAGTACTTAATTACCAGTGCACGACAGCATCGAATAGAAATTTGTCCTGTAATTTTCCAAATGACATCAGATTTATAAGGGGTTTTGTATTGGAGACGCGGAATTGAGAGGAGAAGAATGAACCTTGAATGAATAGAATTCCTTAAAACTTAAAAACTTTTGTTTTATGAAACGAATCCAAGTCAAAACAGTACTCCGAGTACATTTTAGATCCCATATTTCAAAAACCTTCGAAATCTTATATGTTTTATAGAGGTATTTGAAAATAATGTGTCAAGGTTACCTATTGCTTCTATAAACTGCCATGGCCAATTATTAATGATAATGGTTGGTTTCGGGGCCGTGGTTTCACGGCATGCGTCCTTTCGTAGTAGAATTCTTCACTGCTGCTTGACATGGATAACGCATCAACTGCATGCATGGAGTTCGTCAAGATGGCACGAGCGAGGACGCTTACACGTAAAAAGCGCTTGGACATGCTATACGAGCCAATGCGAGCCTGCTGCACCCAAGAAGGTGGTTGAAACCCTTGGACGTAGCGTTGCTATTCTTCGAGAAGTGTAGCAAGAGTACTGTGACTTCAGGGCTGTCACAGCGGCCACCCTTGTCTTGAACCGGAAGGTGCGCCCAACAAAGTTCGTACATTGAACACAAAACATTGAACTGATCCAAGCCTTCGTGCACCTGCTTCTCACTGGAACGACCAGGCCCTCCGTCGAGTACATGGACGATTCGTATATTCACCAGCATTACAAGTGTGAGCGTGCACAGAGGAAGACGCAGTAGATGGTAGAATCGAGAATGAATTGATAGCGTTAAGACTACTACGCTATCACTAAGCTACGCGCAATCAACCATCGATGTATCATCGGGGGAACACCTTGGTTGCGCAAGAGGACTTCTTGGTGTGCGAAGATACACCTTGGACCAAAGAGACACCTTGGACTGAAGAGGTGTCGACTAGTCATCCGGATAGTAACCGGATGATGGGCACGGTTACACCCTCCGCTACTTAAGACAGAACGTACCATCATCACGTGGTCAAAATGAGAGGATTGTGGCGTGACAGTTGAGATTGAGATGGCAGATGAAGGCAAGAAGCGCAAGGCGAACCAGTTCACCGAGGATGCCGACGACAGCGTTGAAGAGGCCGAAGCGCCTGCGCAGCAAGTGGAGGTAGTGGACCTCACAGCCGAGTCGGATGACCACGGCGGAATTCCGCCGAGCGAAGACGCGGCCGAAGTGGCACAACGCAAGGCCGACTGGGAGGCCAAGACAGCCTTGAAGCGCGAACGGCTTGGACAGCTCGAGCAGCAAGCGGCTGCCGACTTGGTGAAGAGCGCCATGCTGACAGTGGGCGCCGAAGGTGTGCAAAAACTGCTGGAGCAGCACTTGGCAAGAGAGGAGGCCGCCAAGAAGGCAAGAGCGGCCGAAGAGGTGAAGGCGAAAGCAAAGCGCGGCGAAGAGGCCAGAGCGATCGCAGCGGCTGCGGCGAAGGCGGCGGACGAAGCAGCCAAGGAGGCTGTGGAAGCAGCGAGGAAGGTGACTAGCGAAGGTGTGACTGGGACACCTTCTGGCGATGGGGGGCATCCCAACGCTATGGGCGATGGGGGAAAAGAAAGAAAGGTGAGCGGCGTGGAAACCGCCGTTAAGACGGAGGCCAAAGTGAAGGCCGAACTTGTTGGACCGGAGCGGACCGGCCTAGCTCGAGACGAAGTGTTTGAGCGAGAGTTGGGGTTTCACTGGGATCGCTCTCGGATCTTCACGCCTGCCGGTTGGGGTGGCATGGACTTGGAGTATGTGCGCGGCGTGACGCGCCATTTGACGGTGGTACGCGAGTTCGACGAGACTCGCGAGGATTGGGGATACCAGGTGGCCAATGCCGCCGGCGTTGAACGGTACCTGCGCTTGTTTGCAAGTGCCCAATCGTTTGAGTTGCGGGCTTTGGATGCTGCTTGCTATGGAGTGTATACAGCTTGCGAGGGTGTGAGTTTTCACTGGTTTGATGAATTCAAGGGCGCCATGCGCGAGTTGCATGAGCGGGAGCGCCTGGAGCGCTGGAAGGTTGACGTGGGGCGGATCGAGCTTTGCAATGAGGAAACATTGCTGGAGTACCTTGTAGCGTTTGTGTGGACGCTGGTTGGACAAGGCAGTGGGCGGCATGGGCAGTTGCCGCTGACAGCGGGGCGGTTGGCCATCTCGCTGTCTAATTTCGCCGGGGTGCGGCAACAGAAGCATGGGCGTTTGGACGCACGGTCTGTCGCGGGGAATCGCCGCCCGCGTAAATATGCGGCGC